TTTCAACTGCGCTACCCAACTATTTTTGTTTTTACTATAGATCCTGTTCAATTTTGGTTTCGTTTAACAGAGAATTTGCTGATAACAATTTGGATACTAGTGCTCAAATCTATCAAGTCTTAAAAAAGAAAATCCAGATAAAATTTAGAAAAAAAGTAACAGAATCAGATAGTTCTTTATTCAGTAGGTTCTAAAGTAGGCTTCTAAGTTATTCTTTTCTAGATAATAATAATTTTGACAATGATTTTGAGAACGATCAACACTATCGCTGTCATGATTACATGAAAATTTTAGCATCTAAGTAATCGATAAGCAGTTTTAATGCTTATGAAAATTAGAAAAAAATATTTCAAAATTGGATATTCTTATTATTGAAGCTATATTGATAATTATAATTAACTTTTGATTATGGCATTTGGCATTGTGTTTCATACGCATATATAGATTTGACTTATATTATACTTCCTTCACCTGAATCTACTTAGTATGTCTGAACTAGTTTCTATAGTTTTCCTAACATCGACATGCTATCTTTCTGTATCGCAATGATTATTCATGTTTACATTTCTATTTGTTAACTATGGTAGTACATAGATATTCTAACATTCACTTTTTTTTCTTTTTTTTTTGTGGAACTTCATGAGATTTGCAAGCAAAATGAAAAGGTAATCATCTAATTTTTTTTCGGTTTTTCGTTACTCTTACTTTAAGCGTGATCAAAATAGTAATTTTTTTTAAATAAAAATAAATTTAAGAAATAGAATGAAGTTAAAATAATTGAGATTTCTGTGAAATTGTGATAATATCATATCAGATTAGCAATAAAGATATTGTTAATATGTAGAAAATCAGAAAACAAATCGCGATTTATCGTACTAATCACTAAACATATCATTAAATATCGGCGATTAATCGCCAATTTTTCAGCGATTGTCAGGACATGGAGCCATACATCCATACACCCACACCCTGTTCTACCATTGAGAATGAACAACAGAACAAACAAAATCTTCATTTTCACACTATTTCTTGATTCACCTTTCAAAATTTTCAAAACATTATTAACATAAAAGTATTCATCTAATCAATCTATCTCAGTGATTGATTTCGTTGATTTTTGTATTGATTGTTGATCATTCTACTAAAATACTTCAATCATGACATTTATTTTCTTTATTCCTTTATAAAAAAAACAATTGATAAAGAAGTATGAATGATTTCATAACCCAAATAGATGATGAAAGTTCAGGAACTTTAAATAAAAGAATATATACAAGAACTTCTTACCTAAAATGAAAGAACATGATTAATGTCATTATTACAAAATACGTTCGATGATATATATTGATAAAGATAGGTTAAAAACAATGGCTTCGAAGTATTATATGTCTATTATTATCAACATATTGCTTTGAAAGACGAAGTTAAGTATTTTATATAGACATATTTACATCTTTGTATTTATTTTGTCATAAATATCTTCTTTTCTGTATGATGCCATGATTAGATGCGTTGATTTTTATGTGTAGACATTTTTGTTTGATTTAGTGACTCGAAATAATTCATATGATTAATATTGAATTGAAATGGCTGGAGGCGTAGTCATTCTATCATCTTCATCCAACTGCAAATATCTCAAAGGTCGTCAACTTATTTTTCCTCTGAGTCTAGCCAGTTCACTATTCTTTCTTTGGGGTTTCTCATATGGTCTTCTCGATGTCTTAAATAAACATTTTCAAAATGTACTCAAAATTACAAAACTTGAATCTACTGGATTACAAATTGTCTATTTTGGTGGTGGTTATTTTTGCTTCTCACCAATTGCTGCCGAATTACTCAAACGCAAAGGTTACAAGATTACAATTATCACAGGTTTAGTACTATTTGCCATAGGTGCTATTTTTTTCTGGCCAGCTGCTCATTTTTCTAACCCAACTAAAGGAAAACAAGCTTTTGGAGGTTTTATTGTTTGTACCTTTGTCATTTCTTGTGGTCTTGGTACATTGGAAACTGCAGCGAATTCGTACACTGCAGTTATTGGTAATCCACAATCGGCTGCTATGCGTTTACAATTTTGTGCATCATGGAATGGTGTAGCATCATTTATCGGTCCACTCATTGCCTCTAAAATCTTCTTCTCAAGTGAACATGCCACTAATCTTAGTAACGTCAAATACGTCTATATAGCTATTGCCTGTAGTGCAGTTTTACTAGCTTGTATTTTTTTCTTTTCGAAATTACCTGAAGTCGCTACAGATGATGAAGATCATACTGATGTTACAGATCAAACAAATGGTCAAATAAAACCATTATGGAAACAATATAACATGATTTTTGGATTTATAGCACAATTTTGCTATGTTGGTGCTCAGGTAATAAAAAATGTCTAAAACATGAGAAGATCAAGATACATGCTAGTATTAATATTCAAACGAATAGATCTACTCTATATTCATGCCTTGAAAAAAAAATTCTTATTTAGGTCACAATTGCTTCCTTTTTTATTAATTATGCTACTGAAAATGCTGATTATACAGATTCTCAAGCATCAAAACTTTTATCTTATGCTCTCATTACATTTACTATCAGTCGTTTTATTGGTACTGTCCTATCTCATTTCTTTCAAGCTGATTTAATACTTCTCATCTATTCTACAATTAGTGTTATCCTTACAATTTACATATCTGTTAGTTATGGTCGTTCTGCTGTCATTGTTCTTATGTCAATATATTTCTTCGAATCAATTATGTTTCCAACTATATTTGCTATGGGAACAGCTAATCTCGGTCGTCATACTCGCCGTGGAGCTGGTATACTTATTATGGGAGTTTCCGGTGGTGCTGTCTTTCCTCCAATTCAAGGTGCTATAGCTGATGCACATTCTACTCGTATCTCGTTTTTCGTGCCAATGGTTGGTTTTATTGTTGTTTTAGTTTATGCACTCTTTCATTGGATCAAACATGGTTTCAAAGTGAGATGTGTACGTTCAACTGTCGATAAAATCATTGATGTTCAACCTAAATTATCATATGTATCGCAACCGACAGATATTATAAATCATATTTCAACATGGACACCGATTCCTCTAGCATCTAGAACATATACTAGAGAAAATATAAATGGAACTATTATAACAACAGAGTATTTCTAAAAATGGTTATTTTCAAAAGAATGATTGAACTATTAAGAAGGGATATAATCTTCTTTTTCTTTTGCTACAAACTAATTGATCCTCTATTTCGTATTTTGCGTTATTGTAGAAATATTAGATATTAGTGGTATTGTTGATCTCACTTTTATTAATTATTCTGTAAAGCTTGACACGATCTTTATATAAAATGATGAAATTTGATGGAATAATTCATATTATAAAGAGTAGAAATTCTTGTGTTAAACTTGCATCTAATCGAAAAGAGTAATCTAAGGTAATGAAGAAAATATTGTTAGTTGTCTTCTTGCTATTCTCTGTTTCCGTTATTGATTTAATACGATCTTATGATTCTCATATTAGTTCAGTTTATTAACTTTGTAGATGTTATCTATTTGAGTGATCTAGCGTGAGATTTAATTTGATATAAAATTTGTTAGGGATGGTATTTGAAATCCCCACTTTACTCACCTGGAAAAATACTTTTAATTTCATTTTTTCGTGCAATCTAAATAATAGCATCGTAGTTTCCTTTCTTTTCGAAGTAAACAATGCGGAAACTCTTTTCGCTGGAAAATCTTTACCTTATTGTTCTTTCAGAAAAGCATATATGTGCTATATATTATGAACAGAATCAAAACTTCAAGAATCCTCCTTTTATAACAAATTACAACCACTGAACTTAATATTAAATAATCATATTAATAAAATCTTTTCATGAAGAAAAGTTCTTTTTCCATTTCATTTTTTAATACTTAATACATCGTAAAACAAAGCTTGTTAGCGCAGCTCCAAGGGAGTTGAAATGCGGAACTTACGTATATCCTTTAAACTTGTTATCCTGATGTTCGACTTATAAACTGCGAAATAATTTTTGTTCGAATATTTATGAAATCATTGATATATTATATGGAATCTGAAGGTTTTTATGAACGGTTGTTGAGATCTGTAAGAGTGGCCTGTGTGTAATGGAGAGAAGCTACTAAAATCCGAAAATATACATGAGTTCCACAAAAAACGAAATATACTAGAATATGCAGCGTGAAAAGCTCTAAAATTTTCACGAAACAGCTTATTTCATACGATACATGATTTGTTTCATTTCATGAATCATATCCAAGCTTATACTCAACGGTTGAATTAAGATAAATTTATACATTTTCAAATAACTACAACATACAATAGGATAAAGTAACGACAAAGATTTTTTGATTGTTGAAATAAGAAAAACAATTCATCGTACACCAAAATATGATGTTGTTAATTTCGAAAGCATAAAGTGCAACTACAACAGAAACTGTTCTTAGCAAGTTAAAGAGCTTTTCAGGTTGCTCCTTGTGACATATTTTCTTTTTTCAATACAGTGTATTAGATGCTGATAGAAGAAGATGAAAAAAAAATCTTTTTCTGCATGAGCGGGACACGAAATCCCGAATGTTCTAGCTCATGCAACTTTTAACATATGAGCAGAACAAACATAGTTCCGTCAACAAGCCAAATAATTTTGTGTAGCATCTCATGTAAATTTACTCAAATCCTAAATGAATCGATTATTTAATTGCACCGCAGGGTGGATGTGGAAGGGTGTGGGTGGGTGTGCGTGTGCGTGATTAAATAAGAAGAATTCACACCCACACCCACACCCTAATATTATTCTCGATTTTCTTATTACGAAATAGTTCTAAACTACTTCAAATTATTCAAGAGTTTGGAATTCTTATGTAATAATAGATTGTAAACATAAATGATGAATCCCTCAACCAAGCACGAAACGTCGTGTGATGCTCTCAATCTCAAAAATCTTTTATAATAAAAGATTAAATTATATATCGAGGTCGTTAATTAATTATGTCTAAGCCTTAGCTACCTTAATGTTAAGTGAGTTAAGACTTATATGTAATTATGAAATTCTAAACATGCCTGAGGATGACCCTTAAGCAAGGTCGAAATCCGGATCGTGTGATGCTCCAAATTTCAATTCTTTCTTTCTAAATTATTTTATAATTATTACGATTTGTCTTTACTACTTCAGTTATTTGGAGAGTTTAGACTTATGTAATAATAGAACTCTAAAGATACCCGTCGAGTCCGTTGAGAAAGGACGAAACACGTGTCGTATAGATCTCTGAGTTCTCCAATTCATACTACTCTTTATAAACAACATGTTGAGAGACGCATACACTCCATACTATTTAATAAAACTCGTAAAGGGTGAGGATATGTTCTACTCATAACTGAAACAAAATACTTTCTTTATTCATTAGCCAAAGTCGTGTAGCAGCAATTGATGAAAGCTCAATCAAAAGCGCGAATATCAATATAGCTGGCTTCAACGGGCTTCGCACCAGCTCGTCGACGCCATCGACGTCCAAACAAAAACAAATGTTTCGCAAAACAGGCGTATAAATTTAATGTGTCTCCATTACGACCAACAACGTATCCAGTCAGACCAAACATTTAACATTCCTGAGAAAAGTCGAAACTATTATCGACACCAAAATATAATGCACCTCGATGTTTTTTGAATATCTGGAGAACGATAATAGCTAGAGACTTGCGGTTTTCACCATTACAAAGAGAAATGTGGGGGAAATAAAACTCTACTAAATTATCCTGACTACGATCTGGTCAAGCTGGTCAGTTTCTTCTGTAGATTTTGACCACAAGTTTTCTGAAAAAANATCTCTTACATTGCCAAGCCGAAATACGATGCTCTCGAGATGTTCAAGTCGATCGATCAATGCAATCATAATCTCTTTTGACTCGACGGTAATATCTAGATGTTCAATGGACGAACATATAGAACAGAATTGGTCAACATCAATTGATTGACCATTATTCTCCAATTTGCAAGAACGAAGTTGTCGAGGTAAAACAAACAGTGGATTCAAAATTTTTAAAGTGAAATGATATAATTGAGGTGTATGATCGAATAATGAATGCAGTTCGCCCACCAAAATCGTACTAATATTGGAAACATCAAGTTTTTTTATTCGATGAAGATCAACATACGACATAAGAATACTAACCGATGGCAACGTAGAACCTAAAAGACGCAACGAGTCCACCTGACTAAAATGATAAAGCGGTGGCGTTATTGATTCGGAAAATTTCACCACGAGATCGATGTTGCTATTATAGAAAGATTGTTGCTCGATTCTGGGTGGTGCCGTTGCTAAGGGTGGATAGCTGTTGTTATGATAGAAAAAAACGTGATGTGGTCGAAATTCAGGCACCGAATAAACATTTAAAGCCGAATCAAGTGTTTCTTTGTGACATGCAACAAACCAACGCTTCTGCTCAAGCCAAAAAGGTGAACGAAATGAATCAAGTAACGAGTTGTTATCTTGATTACGAATAACACTCTTTGAAGAATTATATTTGAATCTAAAATTGAATTTGGAAATGCGAGTTCTAAGCATGAGTTGTTCCCATCGAGTACCATTCATTAAATCGCTCATATCTTTCACTCTTGCAACAACTTTAAAATGTGTCAATTGTTGCAATTTGATTACACATTGTTCAAATGAATCAAATGAAACCATATGAACTGTAATCGAAGAGAATAAAAGAAATGTTCAATGCGACAAATATTGTTTTTACCTTCATCAAATATGAGTGTCAAATGTGTCAGACAACAAGATAGTTTTTCAAAATTAGGCACCATAGTTTCCCAAGTATGATTGTTACCCACAAAAACATTAAGATGGGTGATCGAGGCTTCGAGACGTTCAATGATCTGATGTAACTCAATGAAAGAGTGACAGCCAATACTTAAATGAGTCAATGCAAGAAATGGAGTATCTACTGATCGAAGTAAATCGACTTCAGCAACACTCATATGGGTCAGCAAACTGGCTTGTCGGTTGCACGTATGGCTGATAAGTGTTTTGGCGGTGTGTTTACATCTTTTGAATGAGAGAGATGAGACAGACCTTGGCAAATCAGTCAAAATAGTGTCGGTATCGATCAACATTAGAGTTTGGAGACAAGTAAACTGATGCTCGAAGTTTGGAAAATAATTGATAAAAAGTTGAACTTGATCAGATGTTTTCTCATCGGAAAGAATGAGTGCAGTCACTTGCTTAGGTTGAAGATGGCGGCAAATGAAATCAAACTTGAATCGAGAGACAAATTGAAAGTCAAGTCGAAGTGAATATGAACCAATAATGTCATCCAGACGATGATTAAGACCGACAAAAGCATACATTAGATCCCAAGGTAACAAATACTCGAATATTTCAAAGAAGAGCTCAGTTGAGAAAGATTCAAGACACGCCCTCATTTTTGTTTCGAAGGAATGAATTTATCTTCTATAAGCAATATGTATCGTCGTGTAATTTTTATCAACTACCAGTAAGGACAAAATAGGAACTTTATTCTCAATATCATCAACAATTGTGAGTGTGACGCCACCAGAATGCAATCGATCACAATGATTGTAGTAGTCATTCAATTGGTTGTCTCGCGCAAACTGATAAAAAAGCTATATAGAGGACGCACATAGACGGGTATAGCAATACAGAAGATTCTTGGTTCTCTCTATTCCACTATTTGTTAGTGCTACTCACTAATACTAATCCATACTCATTCCATTAGTATTTCCATATCTCCGATTGTTTGTGTGCGCTGCTAATATAGGTCAATCCATGAAGAGTTTCGTGGATTATTCTTTGAACATGACATTCTC